CAAGAAACGAGAAGGAAAAAGCATTGATAAATTTTTTTGAGGCAAATTTAAGTATGAAGATTTGATTTGAAAAAAGGTATCTTACGGAAATTCATGTTGCCCAAAAATAGGGGACCTGGAGCATGAGTAAAACAAGTAGGGTAATACTAGAAGAAACACAAAGACAAGCAGAATGGAATCCCTCCGCTATTGGTGCAGCTCTTAGAACCAAAAGTCTGTGTTGTTTGTCCCCCATTTTTTCCGCTACAATGTATGCTTTATTCCCTTGTAACTAACTCTGTTAATTTCTACATTGACATCATTAATAAGCTAAGTGTTTGAAGATAAAATGCCTGGTAAATTTGTGCTATGCCAAATCTATGGCAATTAGGTTGTGGCATATAGAAATAATGTACTTTTCATAGTTTTTTTTTTTTTTGGGTGGTGGGGTGGGGGTGGGTCTGTATGGTTGCTAGCCTTCTTATCATCCAACATATTGATCAGTCTCTGTCCATGACCTGAACCGACATTTTTTTAATGGCCATAATATGTCTAAGAGTAAATATCTTTTTTGGTCTCTAACAAAAAAATACGGTCTCCACTTTAGTCCTTTACAAAAATAAATTAGTCAGTTAGTCCCTAACAAATTCAAAGTGGACCCATTTAGTTGAAATTGTGGTCCCTCACAAATTCAAAAAAGACCCATATTAGTCCCTCAAAAGAACTAAAATGGGTTCACTTTGAATTTGTTAAGGACTAACTGACTAATTTATTTTTGTAAGGGACTAAAGTGGGAACCATATTTTTTGTTAGGGACCAAAAAAAGTATTTATTCTACGTTTAATTGTTTCTTTCATTCATATATTGAGTAATCCGTAAATTGATTACACGATTGGTCGCCACTCGCCAGTACCAACATCTGCTAGAAAAGATGATAATAACGGCCATATGATGCTGGTGCGCAATCTATCAATATCGTCACTGACTCATATTTGCACAGATTATTTTATGCGGTTTGTTTCCAGCCATGAAGAGGTTTAGGTGCAGTTATGTCACAACCTTGGATAAATCACACAACCTGACACCAGCTAGATTTTAGCTCGGGAACTTTATGGATACTACTTACTAGCTACGTACGTACACCCAAGAGTAAAGGCTCCAAGGTTTTGAGTAATTTTATAAAGATGTATACCTCTCCAAGAAAAAGATGAAGAAGCTATAATTCATATAAGAAATAAAGCTGAATTATTATTGTTATTTAGTTTACGAAGGAGTTCTGATATCTTTGTATGAGAAAGGAAAAAAGTAGTTTAAAATGAATCAAAACAACATTGGTGGAATTTGAACTCAGAGTCGAGTATTCTTCAAAAGGACTTGGTGTCATCTAAGTTAAGGCTCTTAAGCGAATTAATTTAATTTTTTAATTGATTTATAAAGGATTTGTTATTTAATTTTCCAAATTCTGTCAGCATCTTTTGCATATGTGGATCAAGTTTGTGAATATGACATTTTCGAATCAGACAAGTTACTTGGAGCCACCAGTCTTTTCATATGGGTGAATAGAAAAGACTATTGGGGAGTGACCCGGGCTTTAATTAAGAAAGATATGCCTTACTTACCTATCTATATGTGAGGCCCCTATCTATATGTCTTACTTATAATTACCTATCTATATGTGAGGCCCCTTATTAATATCAAAGCTTACCTCATGTTTCTCGATGAAAAAACTCATGCATTCTCATTTTTATGAAGTATAGATAACTCAAAACATCTGCTGTATTAGATACTCCTTTTACGTAGTCGGATATCTACGCTTGTATTCATTTTTTTATTTTCAAATGAAAATTATAGCTTGCGTTCTATATGTTTCATTTGATTATTTTCAATTACATATATAGTTCTGATCAGCCTAATTAACTGGCCCATTATGGTTGGCTCAATGTCAAAAGGCCCATACTACCTCTGCAGCACTAGCCCTACAGTGTCAGAGCAGCCTCAACAATGTTGCCATATTAGCACCTATGCAACCGATTTCCAAATGTAAGATATCAAAATGTATTACTTGAGATATCTTCCCCTCCTCTTTGTCTGCACAGGCCCCAAAATGCCTCTCCCTTTATGCTTTGCTCCGCATAGAAGCTGTAGTGCTGACAACAGTTGTCATGTGCCTTGCCCCAACAAGGCACATGTTGCCTTAATTCTTCGTCATGATAGTTGACTTGACTCACTCTCCCACCAAATGGGAACTTATAAACCCCCCCCCCCCATTCTTCACCATTCACACATATAATATTACTACTTTCATGAGTTGTTACTCTGTTAATTTTGAGAGCCATTGCATCCATTCAACACCACCCCCAATTGACATACATTGCACCTGGGATCCCTTTGTGGAGGCTTGATCTATATCAGTGCTATCAAGGTCACTCCTATAATGATATAATATATCCTTTAAGATTACATACGTGGCTCCCTCACCTTACTAACAGTTCATATATATATATATATATATATATATATATATATATATATATATATATATATATATTGGGTTTGATGTTTGTTATTTTAAATGACATAAGTTATGTTATTTTAAGAGAGAGATAGACACATAAAAATAGAAATCATGGGAGAGAGAAAGTGGACGTTCTTTTTTTAATTTAAAATTCAAATTTTCTGTGTCTGTATCTCTCTTAAAATGACATAACTTTCTGTCATTTAAAATGACATATCTTTCTGTCATTTAAAATGACAAACACTTTTCCCATATATATATATATATATATATATATATATATATCATTTGGTGTTTATTAAATTATCATAATCGTTGATTGACGAAAATCAACGGTTAGGATTTGATGTCTAATTTTAAAGTTTGACATGAGTGTCAAATGATCATAACCGTTGAAATTAGACATCAAATCCTAACCGTTGATTTCTGCCAATCAACGGTTATCATAATTTAATAAACACCAAATGATCTCTCCCATATATATATATATATATATATATATATATATATATATATATATATATATATATATATATATATATATATATATATATATATATATATATATATATATATATATATATATATTCACGACTAGAAAAATCCTGTATAGCGAGGGAATTGCTATGCAAATTCGTTGCTAATTTTATCCTCGCTACTACTTTTCCTCGCAAATTCCCTCGCAAAATCGTTTGCGAGGGAAAGTAGTAGCGAAGATGAAATTAGTGAAGGAATTTTCATAGCAATTCCCTCGCTATACAGGATTTTTCTAGTAGTGATTTGATTCAGGTGTAAAATTTAAAAATCTTATTCCTCATCTTAACCGTTAATTTTCTTTAATCTATCAGTGGTAGTTTATTGAGTTATACCAATTAATTAATAATTAACTTCAAATAGATTATAATTGTTAAAAGGATGAAAATCAAAGGTTGAAATAGTCTTACACCGAAGTTAAAAGATTCCTTATATATATATATATATATATATATATATATATATATACACTCATGGGGAAAGATATTGTGACAACCAAGTTGTGTTACTACTAAGTGACTATCAATTAATCTCACCGTTAGATCGATTATGTTGATCCAACGATTATATTTATTTCCATTTTTGTATGGTTATGATTTCCCATATTTAAAGTGAAAGTATTAAATATGAGAAATCATAACCATACAAAGGTGGAAATAAATATAAAGTATTAAATTTGGAAAATCATGACCATACAAAGATGGAAATAAATATAACCGTTGGATCAACATAATCGATCTAACGGTGAGATTGATTGGTAGTCACTTGGTAGTAACACAACTTGGTTGTCACAATATCCTTCCCCTATCCTCATATATATATATATAGTTTTTTAATATATTATGTTATGCCATATATATATATATATATAGTTTTTTAATATATTATGTTATGCCATATTGGGTCATACTCGTATCCTGAGTTTTTAAGAAATGTCGACGTACGTTGATATCCAATACCCATACCTACGATGCATCCGTGTGTATCATAGAATCTCAGAATTTAATAATGTTATCAAGGATATATAACTCTTAGCACAAACTTTGGATATTCAAATTAAGTGAATTATCTAATAAAATATAAATCTAATTAATTATTTATTAGTCATAGTAATTATTTATTTATATATAACATGCCAATGATTTATTGATTTAATTAATACACTTAAACGGATCATACATATGAAAGTTTTTCTCTTTAAAACAGTAACAAAAATTTCAAGTGACACTTGCCGACAATACACTGGAGGGAGTGTAACCCACGTAGTTCCTTATTCCGTACTAGCAGGTAACCATGGCTTTTAATTGAACCAATCTTGGTAGCTTATTCATCATATACACCTACAGGCCCTATATACCCAGCTGTATATTATTATTTTTGGATGCAAATGTGAATTGAATATATAAATTAATATAAATTACCTAAGTTACTGATTCAAACTTAATGAGTTGTGATATTATTTTTCTTTTCCATATATATATATATATATATATATATAGAGCTTATTGTTTCACAAGCTGCTTGAGATAATTTTATCTCCGACTATTAAATCATAACCGTACAAAGATAGATCAATGATAATGAAGGAAGAGAGAGAAAAAAGGAATCATAACTATTCAAGGATGAAACAATTAATATAAAGAAATAAGTAAATAAAATGACGTAGTTTTGGAGTGGCCAGAGATAAACTTATCTCAAGTTGTCGGAAAAATATTTTTCTCATATATACGAAAAAAATTACACTTGCAATCTATTTTTATTTATAAATTTTTACAATTATATTTTTATCATTGATTTTCTCCAATCACGATTATTATTTTTCATAAATCAAATTCATTAATTAATTATTAATTTGTAATAAATGATAACTCTCGATTGACAATCAAAATATAATTATAAGAGGTTGTAAAGGAAAATAAAGTATATAGTTGACTCCGTTTTGTGCTATATATATACCATTTTTGTTCATCTTACCATGTGAATCATGGAACACCACAGATTCAGTAGTACTGGCTCTTCATCTGACTCTAACCACATCCAAACAGGGTTAACTTCTCTGTCTTCACAACGCAGCCTCGCATCAGTTCCTTCCCTTAACTCACACTCTCATCATCATCTCGAGAACCTTCCAACCACCTCTCACAACTGTCTCACAACTTTCAAAGGCAACACTTCCTACATATCCTCTCTAACCCTTGTTGGGAAATTCCTCTACACAGGCTCATCAGACAGAGAAATCAGATCCTGGAACCACACCCCTTTTCATCACTCTGAATTCAACCCTCAACAATCAACCAGTAACATTGTAGTTGCTGGAAAGGGTGCAGTGAAGTCCATAGTAGTTCACTGTAATAAGCTTTTTAGTGCTCACCAAGACCACAAAATCCGTGTTTGGAAGATTAAAACCAACAGCGAAAATGACCAAAAGTACACCCTTTTAGCCACACTCCCAACGTTCGGAGACCGTGTCTCAAAACTACTGATCCCCAAAAACCATGTTCAGATTCGAAGACACAAAAAGTGCACATGGGTTCATCATGTTGACGCAGTTTCTTCACTGGCCTTGTCCAAAGACGGAACCTTGCTGTATTCAGTTTCATGGGACAGGACAATCAAGGTTTGGCGAACCAAAGACTTCACATGTTTGGAATCATTAAACAACGCACACGACGATGCAATAAACGCGGTTGCAGTTTCTTACGATGGTTATGTTTACACCGGATCAGCAGATAAGAGAATTAAGGTTTGGAAGAAAGGAGGCGAAATAGGAGGAGAAAAGAAACATTCCCTGGTGGACACGTTAGAGAAACACAAGTCTGGGATTAATGCATTGGCTCTTAACAGTGATGGGTCTGTGTTGTATTCTGGTGCATGTGACAGATCTATATTGGTTTCGGAGAAGGATGTGAATGGTAAATTAGTGGTGGTGGGTGCGTTAAGGGGGCACACCAAGTCTATATTGTGTTTGGCTGTGGTCTCTGATTTGGTGTGCAGTGGTTCAGAGGATAAAACGATTCGAATTTGGAGAAGTGTTCATAGAGATCAGTATTCTTGTTTAGGTGTTTTAGAAGGGCATAGAGGTCCAATTAAGAGTCTCACTGCTGTGGTGGTTGATCATCGTGACTCGTCCGAAACATCCTTTCTTGTCTATAGTGGCAGTTTGGACTGTGACATCAAGATGTGGCAGATTTTTGTTCCTGTTCTCTAAATTCTTGGAGTTAAGATTTTTTTTTTTTTTTTAATTTTTTGTCTAGTGGAAGTTTTCTCTTTATTTTTTTGTCTTTAACTAAACAAGAGAAAATTTCAAACATTGAAAATTTTCTTTTTCTTGATCCAAACATAAAAAGTTATAAGAACGGTATAATATAGGTTGGGGCTCATCTATCGGGTATATTGTTTGCTAATTGCGTGTCGCATGAAGTGGTGCAATCAGATTTTTTTTTTAAGAGGGCGAAATTATAATGTAATTTTTTTTCTTTAAAATTATAATTATTTATGGATTATTTTTTCTACGGTCAATCGAAATTATAATGCAATTTTTTTTCTTTAAAATTATAATTATTTATGGATTATTTCTTCTACGGTCAATCTAGATAACTTATCTACATTGAGTCCAAAACGACGTCGTTCTGAGACAAAAATCAAAGTATTTTTGTAATTATAATTTATTTCAGAGTTATAATAGTCTTTTTCATTATAATTTTTTTATTTTTCAACCCAAAATGATGTCGCAGCGAATGTAGATAACTTATCTATATTCACTTTAGAAACATTAAAACCTATTTATATGATACAAAGTTAAAAAAATCCTTTTTTTTGGATAACATTAAAAAAAACTTATAATTAAATGTTTCTACCAGGTTTAAGGGATAAGTTCAAAAGATATGATAAAAAATCAAAAATGATATTAAATTCTATAAAATTTATATAAACTTAAAAGCAGACTGTGGTAATTGGTAACGGCTACCGAACAGTTTTTTTATAGAATAAATACCCTTTTGGGTCCCTACTAAAAAATACGGTCACTATTTTAATTTCTTACAAAAATAAATTAGTCAGTTAGTTTCTAACAAATTTAAAGTGGACCTATTTTAGTTCTTTTGAGGGACTAATATGAGTCTTTTTTGAATTTGTGAGGGACCACGATTTCAACTAAATGGGTTCACTTTGAATTTGTTAGGGACTAAAATGGGGACCGTGTTTTTTGTTAGGGACCAAAAAGGATATTTACTCTTTTTTATAATACGGATGTAATTTTGTAGGTACATCCAACCTACAAAGAAAAAAATTTGAGACTTAAATAAAAATAAAAATTTAGATTCAAATGAATTTTTTTTCTCAATTTAAAAAAAAATACCGCTGCATCGAAGAAATTTTCTTCGCTATTCATCGCTTCACAACTGGTATGATATATATATTTTTTGCCCCTTGTGCTGTGAGGATATATTCAAGTCCATTTGCCGTGTCAACTAAGATTAAAAGAATAGGTTATTCTATTATTTTTTCTGCCTACTTTTGTCTACTATCTTAAAACATTGTTAGATCATAATCTCAAAAAGAGAGAGAAAGATAAATGTTAGTTAAGATTCTGATCTAATAGTGTTTTAGGGTGGTAGGCAAAGGTAGACAGAAAAAATGGTAGGTAGAAAACCTATCCCAAGATTAAAATATATCTCATATTGGGATTTGAGTTTTTTTATGTGAAAAAGTGATTATGTGATCATATTATTTGATCATAATTATTCATTAAAAATCATACACTTCTCTCTATCTTATCTCATCATCAATGAGTGGTCATGATAAAATAATATGATCAAATGATCATTTTTTCATATGAGAGAGGATCCAAATCCCTCGTATTGACTTAGTGTTTTTAACAAAAAAAAAATATTTTTTCAAAGTTTAGTGATACTTCAGCTATGATGCACGGACACGGACACGGACACGGGACACGACACGACACTTCGACACGTTAATTCTAGAAAATGCTAAATTTTGACAAGTTGGGACACATTTTAATATTAAATAATATTTTTAATATATATAATATAATTTACATTTAATACATACTTCAAAGTAGTCACATTAACGTATAGATTCTATATTTCTATTTGCTACTTGAGAAATTACTTTTGATTGTTTTTTCATAGGAACATTCTTTACTTTCTCAAATACTACATACAAGTATGGAAAGAGATAGCCTCAGATAAGGGGTTAACCAATAAAAATAAGGTAAAGTACCTAACTCTGTACCAAAACCCTTCTTTCATTCTTTCACAGCTTAATATACAATTGCTAAAGCAAAAGACCAGCTTAATATACAATAAAAATAAGGCAAAGTACCTAACTCTTTTTTTTTTTTTTTTGTAAATAAGTACCTAACTCTTTTGTTGTATATGAATCTGTTTGTAGAATTATTATTTTTTTAGGCAGAGGCCAGGTTGGCAAAGCTCACTAAATTTTCTATTTGGTTCATATATTCTTGTCAATGGTGATGGCTTACTTGTTAAAATGTTTAGCTACAAGTAGGAGTTATGGACTTTAAATCACTTCTTGCGTTACAGCAAAAGGTGTTGATGGATCTTGTAACTAGTTTATTCTCTAATGATCCGCTTCTCAATTAATTACTCTCTGAACTGTAATGTACTGAAAAATTATTGTCACACTCTGTAAAGAACCTTGAGATACACCACTCAAAAGCTAGCTCAAAGGGTGAGAGTGCCCAAGGCCTTATAAAAGCCATATTAATTGTCCATCCAATCAATGTGGGACTATATATCTCAACACACTCATTCAATACATTTAACATGAGAGGGTAGTTAATATATTTTGAACGAGTAACTACTCTGCTCTGTTAGCATGCCATAATTTTTAGTTTATTAATCTTACTCATGCTGTTTTTCTAACCCCAAGCCTATTATGCTTGACTGAATTTCTATTGTCAAAGTCTATCTTGTTCTTGTTTCTATTGTCAAATATATTGGTGAAGAAACAGAGAAAAAAATTTATTCCCATAAAAAAAATTGCAATGCAAGATATGAATCCTTTTATAATTTTCTGCAGCAAATGCACTTGAGATCAAAGTCTCTGAAATATCTCTCAATTAATGAGCTTGGTGTGCTTTGGCCTAAGTACAACCAATGTGTTATTTATCTTGTGGAACTATGGAAATGAACAAATTAGAATTTTGCACAACAGAGCTTAATTTCTTTTTATCTTTTTTATGTTTCTCACATGCAGATGCATTGGTTATTGTTTCAATTCTAGTCCTGGTGGCTTTGTTAAGCATACAACGGTTTGGTACCAGTAAAGTGGGTTTCATGTTTTTCCCTATACTTGCTTTATAGTTCGTTTCTCTGGGTTCTATTGGAGTTTATAATATAGTTAAGCATGATATTATCGTTCTGGGAGAAAAAACCACACATATGAAGGAAACTATACAAGGGAGATGTAGACGAGAAAAAACGACACATAGCCTCAGACTTTCTAGACTCAATAATAAATTTCGCATTAGTTGCACATAGAACCAATGTGAGACTATATATCTCAACACGTTTCCTCACACAAGAGCCCATCGGGCTCGAAGAGTGGACAATGCAATAGGCTCAGCCCACCTGTGCTAAGAAACGCCACAAGAGAAAGTGTGGGGCGGCGAGGCTCTGATACCATATAAAGAACCTTGTGATATACCACCCCAAAAGCTAGCTTAAAGGGTAGGAGTGACTAAGGCCTTATAAACTCTACATTAGTTGCACATACAACTAATGTGAGACTATATATCTCAACGACGACCAACAGTAACTACAGCGCACGAAGTCCGTAATTTTAACTACTAGACCAACTCTTTAAGTGATACTGACAGTTTATGTATGTTATGGGGACATAGTACAACTAATGAACTACGCCTATTCGAGAAATCATTGTTATAAAAATTTTCTTGAACTACGCCTATTCTTTCTGCATGCATCTTTTTACATACATAAAATCTTCTGAACATTCGACTTCTCTCATAAATAACTTAAAATGTACACACTTCTCTCATGTATGATTTCGATTATTTTGAAAAAGTAAATTTTTTTAAAAAGTTATTTTATGAATGAAAGAGATTATATTTACAACTTATTTTCTCTTACTAACTTCTTATAATTATTATTTTTTATAGTTAGATTAAAAATAAATCAACAATTATAAAATAACATCAATTGAGAGTTATTAATTTGATTTTGATCAAACGGTAAAAAAATAATGGTAAAGGAAAATATATTGTAAATATAACCTCCCTCTTTATGAATTCTTATAAATTACTTTAAATAAAATAAACTAATTCAAATAAACACTTAATCTACATGTTAGAAGTAAAATTTTAATTTTGTGCCTCAATATAATAATCGAAACTCATGTGATAGTTTCTCTTTTACATAATATCAAAGTTCCTATTATTTATGGGTTTTTTTAAGGTTTATTTAGTGATTCTTGTTAATGTAATTCTTGGAAATGGAATACCTAGAAATGATATTTTTGAAAACATGTTAAACCCACGTTTAAACGTTGCTAAAATAATTGCTAAGAATGTTGGAAAATATTTCTACGAATCTTGTATTCCCATGCTTGGATAGAAGACAAATTCGCAAAAATATATAGTGATTTTTACAAAATACCCCTGACAAATACTAATACAAAATAAAAGAAAATAATCTTCATAACTGGTTTGTCATTACATTTTTGGAAGTTCAGTAAAAGCACACCAAATAATTTACATTTCTTATATAGTGATTTTTTCAAAAATAGCCCTGACAAATACTAATACGAAACAAAAGAAAGGGATAAGAACTTCTGCACTGTAGAAGTTCGATATCTAACAGCAAACCCAAAAATATATAAGGGACCCACCATTTTTAAATTAAAAAAAGGAAACAAAATGTTTTTTTATGGGCGGTAAGAGAGAAAACTTATGCAGCTACAACATAAGTTTTTTTTCCGGAATATTTGGTAGAAGGTGAAAAAAAAAATCTTAAAAAATAGGGTGGAAAAATTATTTGCTAGGAGGTAAAGTAAAAATATGGTTGAGAAATTTTTTGTCCTATTAATTGCTTTTCTATGTAAAAGAGTTGGAGAAGATTACCATTGAAGGGGTGAAATTATTTTTTTCCCATGTGATGGAAAAATTAACACACAACATCAGTAAAATTAACTCAACATTCTCGAAAAAAAATTTGGCCTACAAAACACATTTTAATAACTTAACCAGTAATTTTTTTTTTCCATCATATTCCTTGAAATTATTTTTTTTCGGTAAAAAAAAATTTATCCTCTACCAAATCCCTCCTAAAAGAAAATGAAAAAAATATTTAATATTACTTTATATAACTTTGTCTAGTATTTACTGGAACAATATCGTTTTAAGGTTGAAAAATTAAAAAATTAGAATAATAAAAACTATTATAACCCTAAAAAAAATTAAAATTATAAATACACCATAATTTTCGCTCAAAACTACGTCATTTCAATAAATATTAGATAAATTATTTAAAATAACTTTAAAAAAAATGAACCCAAAGAAAATATATCTTCATAACTGGTGGTTTGTCATTACATTTTTGGAAGTGCAGCACAAGCACCCCAAATAATTTACATTTCTTGCCTTGCTTATATTAAATAAGTTCTAAAATGCAGAGCGATTGATATATGAATATGAGATATATATAAGGAAGCATTTATAATGTCAGAATACAACATTTGTTCTGAGAACTCACGACATATTCACCGTGAGAATAAACATGAATACAGATGTGAATATATTAACTTTCTTAAAATAATTGATTTCTAATAATATTTTTACTTTTTTTATATAAAAAACAACCGACCAATTATTTCATTCCTAAGTGTGGATCTCCAAAAACAACTTATATATACAACCAGTGGCGGAGCCACATTGGTGCCAGTGGGTGTCTTGGCACTGGCTAATTTAGCCACGTTTATTTCGCTACGCTTGAAACGTAGCAAATCATGTTTTAAATTTTTTGAAAATTAGCCACGTTTTGGTCGTAACTGTATAACTGTAGCTATTTTGGCACCAACTGAATTTTTTTTACACTGGCTAGAATGCCTTGCTGGCTCCGCCACTATATACAACCAACGTTTCTTATTAAACTAGTATCCATAGGGCTAGCTAAGGGCTAAGGTCTACTACAATATCTTACGTATCTGGTATATAAGTTAGGATTGGCAAAACGGGTTAACCCAGCTCAATCCAGCCCAACTCGCATGAACCTCGAAAAAAACGAGTCAGATTAAGGTTGGCTCGAAAAAAAAAATGAGCCAAAAATCCCAACTCAACCCGACTCGAGCCGAGATAGAGTTGACTCAAAAATATGGCTCGTGAGTTGGCTTGAAAAAATAGCTCGCGAATTAGGTGAAAAATTGGGTCGCGGGTTGGCTCAAAAATTGTTCGTAGATTGGCTAGTTTTCAGCCTATTTAAATGAACCTTTAGTATTAATGTATCAGCTATGTGGCTTACATCAGCTTAAACAAAGGGTTACAAAATGAGAAATAAAAGCTTAATATTCTAGTTTCAAATTTTTTTCACAACAAATTTGAACCAATATCAAGAAACAATCAGAACCACTCGTTACCAAGTGGATAAGATATTTGAACCAAACAAAGATAGCACAGTCTAACAATATAAAAAATGGCACGAATGTGAAAAAATTAAGGACTTAGGTTTAAAGAAGGAAGAAAAATGATGACAACATGTGCGAATTTTATCCATTTTTATATATTATATTTTGTATTTTTTTATTTAAAAAAAAAATCAACCCGTGGGTTGACTTATTTTTTTCCGAGCTGGCTCGAGTCAAGTTGGCAGCTCATTTTTGCCAACCCCACCTGACTCATTTTTCAGGGGTAAGTGTCATCACATACCAAAATCTTCCTAACATTCTTAAAAAGAAAAATAATTTAATTTGCACATAAAAAATTATATGGTTATACTTCAATTGTTTAGAAAATAAAAAAAAAATGCATTAGAGTATACGTTTTTTCATTTTATCATTTTTAAGAAATAAAAAATGGTATAAAATAGTTTTACCCTTCTAAAAAACTATTATTTCGTGAACAAATTGCACCGTCTACGTAACGCGTAATTATTTCTACATCCAGCTTCAAATCATCATAGTTATGTAGTTTGGTTGCATAAAAGCTTTGACAATCGATGTATGCAAACCATTGGCCTCCTCATTCCAATCATAATGCAACTGTGCAATGAATACATGCTTTACCCGCCCATATATGTGAGACAAAACATGACACGCGAAGAGAGAGAGAGAGAGAGAGAGAGAGAGAGAGAAGGGCTTGCAATTTCCATGTTGTTATCTATACATTTATACAAAGGCAAATTATTGTAAAACTTTGTATATATTCAGGTAGAGTAGCATCAGAGGAGGAGAGATAACTATAAAAGCTTGACCCATGTGAACTGAAAATCTAGCCACGAGTTCACATTTTATTTTGTACACAACAGGTCACTCTTACTAGTCAAAGAAACGGGTCAATCCCCGGTAATGCTTCACGTCGGTTCGAGAAAAATGATAGGATTGGGTAGAAAGAATAACAGAACAAAGCTAACAGAATGAGCATCTACCTTAGTTACAATGGTTCTTTAGCTGGTGTACCCGGATCACGGGGATATTTCATCGGGGTGTGACGATCCTTTAAACATATGACAGCAGTTCGCTGACCATATGGGCTTTGCGATTCCACTGGAAAAACAACATCAATGTAAAATTACTTCAATAAGCTAGCTCATCCACTAACGAAACAAGAAATAGAAATGCAGTATGAACTCTTCCAATAAAATCAAGAACAAAACGGCATGGGCACTCTTTCTGGAAATGCCAGAGAAGACCATACCCACAAGGCCTTCAAATCCAAATATAATCAAGCAGGTAGAGGAATCTTCTTATGTGAAACATTACATTCTAAAGAAAGCACAAGGAAGGAAATAAGGTTGATGCTCTTGGTGAATCAATAGGTTGTTGAATTCAGGGGTTTGGGCGTAAGAATTGTGTATTTAAGGTTTATCGTATTTACTTGTTAGGCTTTTCTTTACAATTAAGACTTAGTTATATTAGGGATTAAGGATTACTGAGTTACTTTCCTTAACAAAATAAAAAAAAATCCCCAGAAACAAACCCGGGACTAAAGAGCAGTTTTACCACTTCTCCAGACTTGCCCTCATTTAGTTACTTTACTTAAAAAATATATATAAATATTTTGAACTTGCCTATGAAATTAAATAGCAAATTTATATTCACTCATTCTTCCTATCAAATTCCTTTCAGCATTTTTCACTTCAAAAAGCTAAAAGTTCTATCAGTAAACACCTATGCACCTTGATACACAGGCCCATCTTACCCAACATATACAGTTTATTGACCTGCCACCACAAGCCATTGGAGCATCATCAATCAGAGCCACTAGCATTGACTTTAAACTCCCAACGGTTTTTCCAGTAAAAGAGAGTCATCACTTGCTTAACTCCAGAAAACTTAACCGAAGGGTGAGAGGAGGAGTTAAATCCTAGAGAAATGGTGTTAGAGCTTAAGCTTGATATAAAACTAACCAGTTTACATGATGTAACGTTAGCACTATCTGACAAGGAAGCTATCAATCTCTCCTGTTCGCTGAGAATATAAAATGTCAAAAACATATATTCACAGGCATACAAAATGTAGTTTCATCTCAGAAAATCATCAAAAAATTGAATTTTTTTTAACTCAGCACAAAATGTCTATATTGCAGGAGCAAAGTTTAAAGGTTTAAAGCTGAGTACCAGAGCATATTTGCAATAGCGATGCTCCCATCTTCTGGATGGCACTTTCAGCTTTCTTAACTTCATCCTATCCAAATTCATCACAAAGGAAATATATGGTTCACGACTTCAAATCCATGGGACAAGTATAGAAAAGCTACACAATAAATCAGCATGATTTCAGATGTACTTATTCTAAACTGAAAAAAATAAAAAATGACTTAATTTTCATGTGATGTTAGTGTAAAACTTCTTACACTAGCATCCAATTCCAATCATGTATTGACAAATCATTAAAAGAGTTTGACTATTATTAAATGATAGCATAAAACTTTTCAACGACAGTGGATTATATTTGTACTCGAATAATATAAGCACAATTGAGAAATAATTTATTTATATGTTCAGTAAAATCAAGTTTATATTAACTTTCACATGTATGGACACATAAGTTATTTGTCAGTAGTTTTAATATGATTGGGGTCAATGTGGATTTTATTTGAGGAAATAGGATAGAAAAATAAACTCAACAGTTAAAAAATTTCATTCAAGGGGGTAAAAATCAGCCTCCACCTTTTTCTGTTTTCTCAAAAATACATTCCTGACAAAGTAATTACATGAACTTAATAACATTTCCTGAAATGTTAACCACTGAACACTCTCACTGTGACTCATGAAATTAGCCCAAAGATGTAGGGCATTATCAAATTAGAACTACACCCTGAAAATTAACTTAAAATAGAGGATGCCTGGACAGAATATTTGTTTGACAGGTGGACCCTTCCTGAGGTTCAGCCCCAGCCCAAAAGTTCTCCTTCAATGTAAATCAATTGCAATCTACAGAGCACAAGCAAGCTAGTGGCTTTCACAGGGTATGGACATGATCCACACCCATGAATTATGAATCAGATGTAAGACTTAGTATGACAAATACAAATTAGCCGCATTTCTCGTGGTAAAAAAATGGTAAGGGAATAAAATTTATACGACATTTTCAGACACTTCTTGTAGGAAAGCAACCAAGCAAGCATAATTAGATATATAATATATGAATCAGCAGAAGATAATGATCAAGTCTTGAAAATAAATTTCTAACGGCTGTTAGCTACCTCAGGATCATGACCCTTGGCAGCAATAAACAATCCACTGACACGAACCAAGGGAAGACAATACTCAGCTGGAAATGCAATAACAAGAAGCAAACACCGAGTCAGTAACAAATCACTGTGTGTGAAAGAAATAGAGAATTAAATCAGGTACCTAATATTCTCATTTCTGCAACAGCCCTGGCCACTGCTATGTCAAATTTCTCTCTGAAGCAAAGATCATGCCCCAAACTCTGTCCTATGCACAGAACAAGACATATTTTCAGGAGAAGAAGGTACACAGCGATTGCCAAAATAAAATAAAAAAACACAACAGCAACATGAGGGTCTTTGGCAGTGTTCAATATAAGAAAAGTGTTCCGGGTTATTCTAGGTTAATCTTCAGAGTGATTGCTTTCATATATATAATATATATAACCATGCAAAACCTTGTTATTATCTACCTTCTCTTTTTTTTCCTTTTTAACGGCGTTAATAAGAAAGCTACCTTACATGCAATTATTCAAAAGCATATTGCCTTTCCAACACCAGAAGGACATAAGAAAATGCCTTTAAATTTTAACAAACACAAGAAATATTCGGATGAAAAATCTTATTAAAAGAAATGGAGTGCGTGCATGTGTGTTTTACCTCTGCTCTTCCTCTTACAATTTGAATGTTTGAGGAACCGATAACACTGACGACATGCTCCAAGAAGACGCATCGCTTGTTCATAGACTCCAGAAGCGTTACATCCCATTCTATTCCATTGAATCACAAGTCACAAGGGACTCCATAGAGCAACAAGAACAATTTTGGTTTATAGATGAAATCACCTGGTCGAGCTATGGCTAAAACTACTCCTGGAAGGCCCGCGCCAGTTCCAACATCGACAAGGTTGAGCTTATCGCCGGAACTGCCGCAGTGCGTGCGATAACAGTCGCTCAAAGGAGGCAAAATCGCAAGCGAGTCCTCCACGTGCCTTTCCATGACTTCATTCACGTCTTTAACTGCGGTCAGATTCATGCGCTGCAATTGCAATATGCAAGTGTTAAGGAAGATTGTGATTGAGCGTTGTGTTGCAAAAGAGTGAGAGAAATTGAATACCTTGTTCCATTGAAGAAGAGCGTCAACATAGAGATGAATCTGGTCTTTCTGGCGGGAGGTTAGGGTTCCGAAGTGGGAGAGAGTTGCAGTGGATTCGTGCTGACATAGTGTTGTTGATTTCCGAGTCGTAAGGTGTTTGAAGAAAGTCCCCCGAGAAAACTGCAAGTTCAAAACCATGCAGCGACTACTACTTAGAAGCATCTCCTTGTCGTAACAAAGTGAAAGGCCGAAGCACAAATGAGTATTAAGTATGATATGGGCTTATTCCCGGTCATTATTGTAACCTCACACAGTTTTAGGCCTAGCACAACCCATTGAATGCAAAGTCAAGGTTTCGGTATTACAGAGTTTTAGGTCCAAACCATTGGCAACAAATAAAACTCGTCTATTCTAATCCCAAAAAGAATCATAATAGTAAAAATAACAAATCGATTGAAATATCAAATTACTTGTGCAAATTTCTTTTCATACATTACTTTTTCATATTTTTAGTTCCTAAATTCTAGCATTATCAATTGAATACGTAGTATTTTTAATGGGAAATGTGAGTATCATATTATAGACATAAAAATGTGAGACTCACATTTTTATTTTTTTCATTAAGACCCACACTTTTTTGTGTCTATGACTTGACAACATGTGTCATGTAACATGAGACTCGCATTTCTCATTTTTAATATACAATCGTAAGTATGTTCTAATTTACTTCTTTGATGTTGTTATCAAATCCCTCCGTTCTTCCATCTTTGAAATGTCTCGAGTGTATTGAAGGAATAAATTGAGAAAATCAAAATATGCAGGATTGTATAGGAAAATTAATAAGGATAAAATTCAAGATTGATTTATCCTTTAGTAGAAACAAAGACATGCAGAACAAAAAAATTATTCTTTTGATGTGATCTGGAACCATTTTATACGTGACAAAGAGTTCAATCCAATAACAGCTCAATAAGTTCAAGAAGAAAGACTTAAGGAGTAAGGAAGCGTGTACATCACGAGTACAAGCAATTCTGCAAGCAGCGGCAGAGCTAGGGAAAAAATCGGGTAGTGCCAAAAGATCCAGCCAGATAGAATCAGGTGGTGTCAAGGTTGAATTATTTTTAAAAATTCAATTAATATCAAGGTTATATAAAAGAATCTATACCATTTTCAAAAATTAGGTGGTGCCAAGGCACCACCTACCTCTCAAGTGGCTCCGCCACTATCTGAAGGCACATAGAATACATAGACAACAACATAGAATACGTAAGCCTCCTCAAGAGTCAATGGTTAAGGGACACGCAAAAGCTACAATTAAGCCTACACCTTATAGCTCATCAGTAGACATCTCGCAAATAGGATATGCTGATAAGGTTACCCAATCCACCAATGAAAGTGAATGTCGCCATACTAATTAGGTAGCACAAGCAGATTGTGTTGTTACTATATAAAGAAGGCTCAAAGTCCAAGTAAGACCATCTTCTACGGTTGACTTAAACTTATTACACAACTACTAACTTGAACATCAAAATGTCTTATAGATACCTCATTTGTCCAATCTCTCCAGCACCGGCTTAGTCATCCCACATAGCAATCCAGTTGATCCCACCATCTTCCAGCACCACTTGAACCAGACTTAACTGTGTATCATCCGGATTAACTTTTTTTGGACCGATCATGGTGGATATTATATATATGTGGGATAAAACTCATCTAAAATGAGTTTATCTTTAAAATAAGTAAAATTATATTTATAATTGATTTAACTTAAATCATATTATAATATTAACTCGCCAAGATATAACCGTGGACATATTTTTACTTATTTACTTGGAAGACGACCACAAATAGCTTTTTTTTAAGAATACTTCACAGTTTCACGAATTCCTATAAGTATATCCCTGTAATTTCGAATCCTTGGAAACCTGAGAACGTTGATTTTCGTAGTATCCTAATATGGTTGAAATTATACAATCTTCAGTATTTTTTTTTTAAAATATATTTTTTAATTGTTTAAAAGTTATTAAAAAAACACTTTAATTCTAAAATAAAATAATTAACATAGGCAGTCAAGATAAGGGTGTAAAACATTGGATGGTAACCTCTCTCTATATAAGAAGAAATTAAGGACAAAAGGAACATGGCATACTGTGCACTTTATATGTTTGGGTTTAGACTAGGTTTTGTGGCAAAAAGATTTGAATCTCTGAAAAAGAATTTCACTTTAATTAATTCCAGAGGTTCACATTTTCCATCAAACTAAGTTAATTGGGGTGCCACATTTTCCTCCATTCATAAGAGGAGAAAGTGGAAGAAAAGGCTGGCCAATGAGTGACTTTATCAGGGTCAAACACGAAGTCATAAGCAAAGGTCTAGATAGGTTATTTTCCAAAACTCCTTTCGTTCCTCTATGCTCAAAACAGCAACCAGCCAGATATATAGGTTATTTTCTTAGAGCCATACGGGACTCTTGGATGTTCAAGCCAGTTTACAATATTCTACTTATTACACAACTGATAGCACGTGAATGATACGAGATTATTATAGTTTAATTAATAATTTTGAATTCGAGTCAGTAATACATAATTATGTTAAAAACTTGGTACTTGTCATCTTCATAATTGTGCCGACTCGATTAAATTAATTGATTTGCGGATAATTTAGTGAAGAAATAAATAAATAAAAAATACAAAAATGAGATTCTAGAATTGAACCAAAGGAGATAAGTTACCTTGAATATTCGTAAATGGCCAATTTTGTGCAGAAAGAGACTAAAAGAAAGAAATATAGGATAGGTTTTGAGGTAACACATAGGAAGAATTTCTAAGATAAAATAATAAAGGGAGCCAGAAAAAGAAGGGGTGGGGCCGTGGGGGCATGCGGCAAAAATGTTGAAAAGCAAGAAAGAAAGGGCAATATAAAAACAAAAAGAATTATGTAAAAGATGTTTTACACACATATATATCAGACTGCTGAGTTGTGCGAGAATCAAGAAGTATCATCAGACCAGGTATATGGTACATTCAAAATATGCTTATATGGGAATCTTTTCCTCTATCTATGTAAACAATGAATTATTGCTTTCAAGCTTCAGAATGCCGGGAACATTATTGCGTTATGTGAACAGTAACTAACATTTTTGTCCCCAAAAGTTGCTTTTGCAGAAGGCCACATATTCTATTTCCATATTCTTATTAATTACTATGTGTCTTCCTCATCTTAACCTTTTTTTTTTTTTTTTGCATCTATATATATATATATATATTGTCTCAAACACTGACATCCTCATCAGTTCTTTATTCTCATGGGTATATATGTCTCTCTGTTCTGCCAAATTCCATCTTTAACTAAACCCTATAAAGCTTATAAGCAATTCATCCACTTCATATACAGTCACAAACAGCCTTTTACTGTTTTTCTAATATAAAAATATCTTATAAATTTAAAATAAACGAAGTAGAATTCAGCTACACATCTATATCCATAGGATTACAAAACAACCTAATCATTCTGCACTTTTTTCAAAACCCTAAATATTTTACAATTATAGACCACGAAATTCTTGTAATTTGATTGGATGTTACAATGTGGACAGCAAGAACACAGCTGCAGGTGATAATTTCTTCATGGAAAATGAAATGGGGTCATATTGTTTTTTCCTTTTCCTCGCGAAACAAGAGCTGGAAGGCATAAAAAAGTTGCCACCACGGTTTTCGTGATAATTCTTTCTTTCTTCTTTCTTCCCACAATAGAAAAGGAGAGAGAGAGAGAGAGAGCTATCAATTAGTCTCTTTCTCTTTCTCAGAGGGATGGCACGAACTACCTTGGATTTTTCTTCAACCTTTCAACGTTCTCACAAAACAGCAATCATCATGCCCTCACCCTCCTTGTTCTTCTCTCTGACCCTCCCTAACCATCATCATTACCCCCTCAAGGTTCCCACCTATTCCTTTATCAGAAACATCATCATCACCATTCACCAACCTTTTGCTCATGATCATCTTCACCACCAGCACAAGCACCACTCAAAACAAGGTCAAGAACAAGCACAAGCACAAGAAGAAGAAGAAGAAGACTATGACGATGAAGATAAACAAGGAAAACATTCTCGTTTGCTTATTATGCTTATGAGAAAACCCTACTTTCATATCTAGCTTCACCAACTTTTATTTATTGAGTGAAAAGGGTCTATAGCTTTTGCTTTAAAGATCCAACAACTCAACTCTTGGGGAATCAAGCGTCTCGGTCCGATCCATTTCTGTTTTGGCTATAAGTATATTCCATATTATACTAACTAGCCTTTCTTTTCTTTTCTTTTGTTATGATTTTATACCAATTTTTGGTTTGATTCGTAGAAGGATTATGTTAGGTTGCTTTATCACTCTCTTTCTCTTTCTCTCCTTCTATCTTTCTGGGTGTGGAAGTGTTGTTACTTATTGTGATTGCTAAATTAATCTTTGCCTAGATCGAAAGACTTGGGTTCGATATATATTTCAACTTTTTTTCCCTGCTAAAAATATTGGGCGTAGAAATTAATTAAGGAGAACGGGATATTGTTATTAATATATTAATTTTTGTTGCAAGTAATAATGAATGGTTTTCTTTTTTGATAATACGGGAAATCACAGTTCTGAGGATAGTCTTGTAACACAGTTACTGTATCCATTCTAACATATTATCGGTAAAGTATTAATGATGCACCTATTTTCTTTGCTGGGTCTAGCTAGGGTTTCCCTGCAGTACCTTTTTTACGCTAGTTTGTACTACCTTTCTGTGTTGACTCTGAATGATGAGGTCTGGTAATGAATACACAGATACAAGAGTATATCTTAGAATTCATGAATGAGATTTAAGATGAGCTAGAGAGACGTTTGTAGTTGTCGAATAGGAATCAAAGTGCTTGACTCAACAATGATACAACACCTAATCAAGAGCAGAAAGTCATCGTGATAACTTAGTTTCTTGACCATAACTCTTTTTTCATTGAATTTTTTACATCTCATGATGACTCTAAACCTTGTTTTGAATATTCTTAATTTGTGCATAATTCATATTCATCTTTTACTTTATCTAAGAACCTTGAATTTTTCCCGGTTTTGATATGTGTTTCTCTTTTTTTTTACATCTATATATGTATGCGAAAAATAATAAAATTGAAGAGCAATTCGTCAAAGACGACCCGCATGGTCTAAGAGTCATGATCGGTAATGGTTTTACACGTATGATTGAGTTAGCTCGACTGTGTAATAATCATTCATCAAACAAGAAAGAAACAACGAAAACATGTTTCTTTCATTTTTATTGTATAGGACCAGCTAGAAATTTTCAAG